ATTGTTGGTGGAAATGTTGTCCTCAGCCTGATTTCTGTCACCATTAAAAATAGCTATCTGTCCAGAACAAGCGTATTTTCCTTTCTTGCAGGTGTGCTGGAAGCAAGCTGTGCTGTGAAGAGATAGGTGCACAGTACTGTGAGGGAAGAGCGAAGGGGGACATTGATGTGGCAAAGCCCTTTTCAAATGCAGCCAGCACAGCTTTACAACAGGTGAGTGAGTCAGTGTTAGGTCTCTTTGGGGATTGCAGTTGTGAAAGTGATTATGACTGCAGCCACTAGGACTGGTGTTTATTCAGTAGTTTATTATCCAAACTATGGCATAATAAATGTATCAAACTTCGAATCACTGTGCATTATGAATGTGTGCAGAGTATTGCTAGTGTATCAAACTATCCCACAATGACTGGAAATAATGTGATGTTTAACATGTTTATTTTGATGATAAAGGCTACATTACTCCCTACAGTACAAAAAACACACATCGGAAAATACAGGACAATTCCAGATAACCTGCAAACAGCCAGAAAGAAACTCGCGACGACAAGTGTCAGTGCTAAGACCAGCACCTGCCCCAGTGTGGGAGGAAAAGTTCTGAAAGACCTCGGTACTGCTGATGACCGACCTAATAAGGGTGCAAAAATAGTGACCCGGTAAAGGTACTGTGGAAGAAAAGGACACATTTGTATACCACATGGAAAGGAACAAACTCATTGTTAATTTTTTAGATCCTTATGGTCAAACTTAAGGCATCACTACTAAAATACACTGGTTGCATGCATATGTCTAGTTTTGCTCAATAGACACTGACACATACAAAATCATGGATGTATATGAAATAGGGGTTTCATTATAGAAGTAAATCAGGAGAATCTGGAGACTAAGGTGATGGCCAGAGAAGAAATTAAACCAAGGTGCAAGTACTACAATCCTAAGAGAGGTAACAAATTCTCCCTTGGCTTCACTTCTTCTCTGGCCATTTCCATTCTGAAAACTCTTTATTTCACCAACTACTGAATACAGTCATGCCCACTCCCAAGATTTCCCTCTTTATAAAACTCCAAGTGTGATTTATCCTGAATCCAAATGTTTTGGTAATGAACCTTGCTGTGTTTGACTTGCAAATATGTTTAATAAATGCAAGTCATAGCAATTAAATCAGGGAGATGGTAGGTTTTTTTACAAGTCAAGACACAAAAGGCAATCGAGAAATGACCAACATGTAAAAACATTTTGGTACAGGTAATTATATAAAAAGGCCAAGATGTTATTTTATTCTTGCTATGGAGGAACTAATTTACAAGCGAGTCCAAACTCTGGCTATGCTTCTTCCTTCCCACCAAGACATCCCAATTTAAAGGTATACCTTTCACAATTAACTTGCACACCTCACCTCTATAGATGTTAAAATAGAGCCTTAAAAAATGTTTCATTGTATTTGGTGGTTCTTAACAGTATAAGGAAAGAAAGTCTACCAATATAATTTTTCATAGTCTAAAACAGCGATCATCAACTCGATTCAGCCACGGGCAGATTTTTTCAAGTGGATGGTCGGGAGGCCGGAATTTAATAACAAATCATTTGTAGACTGCAAATTGACCGCAAGAAGCCCAACCAGATATATGACTTAAACAATCATTTCAAACCTTGCTTACATTTGTATACAATCACGTCTCTCTATTATACGTGGAAATACTTTGGAACAGATTTCCTGAATTAAAAATCACTTAGAGCTGATTTCCTGATGTTTTTAGTCTTATGGCCAACAATGAAAAAAAATAAAAAAAAAATATATATATATACCACCGTTCAAAAGTTTGGTGTCACTTAGAAATGTCCTTGTTTTCGAAAGAAAAGCAATTTTTTTGTCCAGTAAAATAACATCAAATTGATCAGAAATACAGTGTAGACCTTGTTAATGTCGTAAATGGCTACTGTAGCTGGAAACTGCTGATTTTTAATGGAATATCTACATAGGCGTACAGAGGCCCATTATCAGCAACCATCAATCCTGTGTTCCAATGGCACATTGTGTTTGCTAATCCAAGTTGATCATTTTAAAAGGCTAATTGATCATTAGAAAACCCTTTTGCAATTATGTGAGCTGAAAAGTGTTGTGCATCTTAATCTTTTTATTGGCCAGTCTGAGATATGTCTTTTTCTTTGCAACTCTACCTAGAAGGTCAGCATCCCGGAGTCACCTCTTCACTGTTGACGTTGAGACTGGTGTTTTGCGGGTATTATTTAATGAAGCTGCCAGTTGAGGACCTGTGAGGCGTCTGTTTCTCAAACTAGACACTAACGTATTTGTCCTCTTGTTCAGTTGTGCACCGGTGCCTCCCACTCTTTCTATTCTGGGTAGAGCCAGTTTGTGGTGTTCTGTGAAGGGAGTAGTACACAGCGTTGTACGAGATCTTCAGTTTCTTGGCAATTTCTCGCATAGAATAGCCTTCATTTCTCACAACAAGAATAGACTGACGAGTTTCAGAAGAAAGCTATTTGTTTCTGGCCATTTTGAGCCTATAATCGAACCCACAATTGCTGATGCTCCAGATACTCAACTAGTCACAAGAAGGCCAGTTTTATTGCTTCTTTAATCAGCACAACAGTTTTCAGCTGTGCTAACATAATTGCAAAAGGGTTTTCTAATGATCAATTAGCCTTTTAAAATGATCAACTTGGATTAGCAAACACAACGTGCCATTGGAACACAGGACTGATGGTTGCTGATAATGGGCCTCTGTACGCCTATGTAGATATTCCATTAAAAATCAGCCGTTTACAGCTATAATAGCCATTTACAACATTAACAATGTCTACACTGTATTTCTGATCAATTTGCTATTTTAATGGACAATAAAATTTATTTTCTTTCAAAAACAATGACATTTCTAAGTGACCCCAAACTTTTGAACGGTAGTGTGTATATATATATACATACACACAGTAACAGTCAAAAGTTTGGACACACCTACTCTTTCAAGGGTTTTTCTTTACTTTTACTATTTTCTACATTATAGAATAATAGTGAAGACATCAAAACTATGAAATAACACATATGGAATCATGTAGTAACCAGAAAAGTGTTAAACAAATCAATGTTATATTTGAGATTCTTCAAAGTAGCCTCCCTTTGCCTTGATGACAGCGTTGCACACTCTTGGCATTCTCTCAACCAGCTTCATCTGAAACAGGTGTGCCTTGTTAAAAGTTAATTTGTGGAATTTCTTCCCTTTGTAATGCGTTTCAGCCAATCAGTTCTCTTTGCTTATTTAAGCTGTTCTTTCCATAATATGGACTTGGTCTTTTACCAAATAGGGCTATCTTCTGTATACCAACCCTACCATGTCACAACACAACTGATTGGCTGAAATGCATTACGAAGGAAAGAAATTCCACAAATTAACTTTTAACAAGGCACACCTGTTTCAGGTGACTACCTCATGAAGCTGGTTGAGAGAATGCCAAGAGTGTGCAAAGCAGTCATTTACATTTACATCATTTAGCAGACGCCCTTATCCAGAGCGACTTACAAATTGGTGCATTCAGTCACCAAGGCAAAGGGTGGCTACTTTGAAGAAACTAAAATCTATTTTGATTTGTTTAACACTTTTTTGGTAACATGATTCCATGTGTTATTTCATAGTTTTGATGTCTTCACTATTATTCTACAATGTAGAAAATAGTAAAAAATAAAGAAAAGCCCTTGAATGAGTAGGTGTGTCCAAACTTTTGACTGGTACTCTATATATATATTATTTTTGGCTCAGAAAACGTGGGCCGCCAGTTGGGCATCCCTGGTCTAAAATAAATGTGGGGGGAAAGAGGGAAGGAATTTGAGAACTGATCAGATTGTTCATTATATTCATTCATTTTCCATGTTTGGCATACACACAGTGACACAAGCATTGAAAGATGTAGTAAACAAAGTAAAAGCCTGTGTCAGTTTCAAATTCCCTTCAGTCCTATTACATCTGGGGTCCTAGTCAGAACAAATACAAAAATCTTTATTTTTCAAACCAAGATTTAAAAATCTAGTGGCTACCTCAGCACTGCCACCCCTCTTCCCACCAACACTTGAAAACGATGGAGATTAACAATAGTAAACAAAAATAAAAAAAAAGTTGTTGACGATTTAAAAATGCACGGTGACACAAGGAAAAGCTTAAAAAATACAAAAATAAACTACAAAGATCTTCTGCATCAGTGCTTGCTAATTTCTGGGGAAGATTTTTGCAAGGTGTCATGTGTATGCTGCAAGTTTCAGTCCTAGAAAAGTCGGTCCCTCTCTACAAATGTTTTCCTTCGTCATTCGATCCTTTGTCCACTTCATAGCATCAGCCCTCAGTCCTCATCTTGGGGGGAAAGCACACTGATGAGATTACTAGGAGACTGGAGTCCAGTATGATATCGGTATAGATTCGTTTCTTAAATGAAGCACATTTCTGCTTGAGGGAAAAATTTCCCCCTTTGTTTGTTTTCCCATTTTGATTGTTCCTACCATCTAAACTAAACGCCACCACTGCCTCCTGTTCAGCACATCCTCAAACTGTACATCATCTCATGTAGTCTCTCCCTACATTCCCCAAAGATAAAACAAAAAACTAAAGTAACATTAAGCTCAGGCCGGCTCACAGCTTGGAAGCTGTAAAATGTTTCTCTACAACTGCTCAACTACTGAAAGTAGCCAAAAATATGTATAATAAAAGTAGCTAGGGGGGAAAGAAGAAAAAAGAATTATGAAGTAAAAGCTATAATGTGCTTTTTTAAATTTGTGTTGCTCTAGAAATAGTATGACCTATAGAAAAAGGAGTCTTGCCTACAGAACCATATCTCTTATTTACTTTCATCTAGGGTTTCTGCTGCCATTTTGCTTATGTTGCTGGCTGGATGTAGGTTAACTTGAGGATGGGGTGAAGTCAGGATGAGGATGAAGAGATGGAGGGATGAGTCTTCCTGGTCAAACATGACAGCGAGTGGGGGGAGGTCATCTGTGCGATCTCACTGGTCCGTTCTTGCTTTCTTTTGACCAGCAGCCTTACTGCAGGGACAGACAGAAAGCAAACCATTTATTTTAAAGATAATTTGCCATTGTTGAGGAAATGTTAATCCACAACCAGTTAGTGATGATAATGTGTGTGAAATGTAGGCTAGATTAGATGGAACCAGGTACTTACGTATCAGGTGAGGAAACTGGTCTTTTTGGGGCAGGTTTTGCCAAGGCGCCATCTTTGCTGGACTCTAAAAAGAGGAAAAATCAATTTAAGAGAAACCGTAGTTAAACACTTAAAACAAGTACAACTAATAATTATAATCGACAAGACGCTGCTCCATTTTGCTGAACAGCAGAATTTAAATGAAAGTCTACCCACCTTGCAGCCATCGGACTTGTGTGGCAGGGCCGTAGCCCTTCTCGTTGCGCGCGGCTATGCGGAAGATGATGGCGGGCTTGGTGGTGTAGTCTATGTGGGCATTGGAGAGGCTGGAGGACTGCACCAGACAGGAGGGGTTGGGCCCACAGTACACCCGCATGAAGGCCAGCTGGGCTGGGGTGGAGGCCTTGGGCTCAGCTGTCTGGGTGCTCTGGATGGCCAGGTACACAGAGTACTCAATGATCTTCCCTGATGTCACCGAGGGAGGCTCCCAGGTGAGGTGGGCACCATCTGGGCTCTGAGGGGTAAAGATGGAACCGTTGTTTTAACGCAAAACCAGCAGAAATACAATCCACATTCCATCAAGCCTAGAAAAACGACAACCTCCGTGATTATTTGTTAAGGGTGCCCTAATACAGTAATTGTTCCATGACTAGTTTGCAGTTTTACCTTGCTGATTTTGATGGCACAAGGTGCTCCAGGGAAGCCTGGTAAACAGGTCTTAAAAGCAGAGATCTCTGAGAAGGAACCACGACCACAAGCGTTGATGCCAGCGACACGGAACTTGTAGGCTGTGCCAGGCTGCAGCTCCATTTTCTTCATCTGGTTATAGTCTGGGATGGCGCCCGAGTCATCCTACAACACACACATGGTTAGTGCTGCACTGAACTCTGATCTCTATGCCATAAAAGGCATGAATCCAGCTTTGAGGCTTACCTCTACTTGAGAATCGTCCCCTGGGATGAAGAAGTGCGTAACCACCATGTTTGTCACCTTGACGATGCCAACGTCGAACCACTGGTTCTCTTTTTTTACAAGAGTCTTGATAGGGGCTGGTTGAAGGTTTAGCTTCTGTATATGACCACGACATAAAGGGACTTAGAACATGCTGTGCCATTCAACGTTCCTCTCAAATTCTGATCAAACAGGCAGGATAAAAGCAGGACATTATGAGTACTCACACCACCCTCAATGCCATTGGACACCTCTGCTAGAGCAGCTGCAGCTTGCAGCTTTGCTGGACTGGCAACAGCAAATGTGCTTGAGGGGGCCAGGGCTGCAGATTCAAGGGGACAAGAGGGAGAGGTCAATTTAAGACCTGGAGAAACACTATTAGTAAGAACAAAGAATTACACTCCTAAAAGACCATTTAAAGAAATACTTACTCTCAGTGGATGTGTGCGGCAGCAGTGATGCCACAGCGCTGGAGACAGCTGCAGCCATCTCGGTGTGTCCGTTGCTCTCAGACGCAGGGTCGTTGAGGCTGTCTGCGGGGGCAAGGCCCTCCGTGGGCGGAGCCTGAGCGTTTCCTTGCTGCTGGGCCTGGGCCTGGGCCTGAGCCTGGGCCTGAGCCCGCGCCTGAGCCCGGGCCTGAGCTTCCTGGAGCTGGTGCTGCTGCTGGACCAAGGCTGCTAACTCCTGCTGGGTCAGGACGATGGGAATTGTGGTGGCCTGCTGTCTGGCCGAGCCAGAATCACCCTCGTCTATGCATGCAGAGAAGCAGTTTGATTGTGAGATTGTTGCAGTTGGGTAGCGCTCGTCTTCACACACATTGAAAGTATTTTGAGATTAATCCATTATCATTTACCAACAATTGCCTGGTAATACACTGCCAATCTGAGGGCCATACTTACTCATGACTGCCTGCTGTGCTGCCTGGAGGACTGCCTGGATGGCCAGGGCCTGGGCCTCCTCTGTGGCTGCAGCCTGCGCCGCTGCCTCCGCCGCTGCAGTCACAGCCAGCTCCTCTGCAGACAGACCTGTCCCCATCTGTCCCTCTGACAACTCTGGGGACAGCTCAGTCTCCATAGCTGTGCCTCCCCCCTCCGTAGCCGCGTCTGTCTGCATGGGCTCTTCTGTGGAACCTGCTGCACCCTCAGTGATCAACGAAATGGACTGGAGGTAAAAAAAAAAAAAATAATGTTAGAAATTAATGAGTGCAAATTCTCAAATGGACAAGATTAATTAATTATTTCCATATAATCAATTTATTTTTGGCATTAGTTGCTGATAATTTGCCTAACCATGCCAGTGAGTAATTTAGAACTAAACTCTTATTATGACAATTGTGGAATTTCTAGTGTATCAGTAGAGTCTAGACTGGCAAAGCATTGTTAGTTCAGTTAGGGGTTTCTTTACAGGTACTGAGGGCCCCGGGGCTGGTGTGGACTGGGTCACAGAAGTGATGGCTCTGCTCTGAGTGGCGGCTGGGGTTGTTCCTGATGCAGTGGTGAAGGGAGTCTCTGTACTGCTGGTGGCACTGTCTGCTCCATCTGCTGTAGGAAACACAACACATGGCATGAAATATAAACCTACATTAAAATAAAAACATTAAAAACAACAAGTATCTATTCTAGCGGTATACCTGTGGCAGTAGTTGCCGTGTTGGTGGTGCCAGTCTCGTGGGTTTCACAGGGGGGGTTGGAACACACCCTCTGCACCGTCCCTGTCTGGTTCCCGGCCATGTTGGAGCTGGCCTGGGACGGGGTGTTGGTGGTCCCTGTTTCGTGGGTCTCACAGGGTGGGTTTGAGCACACCCTCTGCACAGTGCCAGTCTGCCCATTACCCATGCTGGACAAGGACTGAGTGGCAGTGCTGGTTGTGCCCGTTTCATGTGTCTCGCAGGGCGGGTTAGAGCAGACCGTAGAGCTGACGGCTGGCTTGGGACTCTGCACGGTGCCGGTCTGGGCTGAGCCCATGTTGGAGCGTGCCGTGGTGTGGGTGAAGGTGGTGCCAGTGCTCAGGTTCTCTGGTCCCTGGTTGCCTGTGGAGGTTCCAGGGGAAGTAGAGGTGGTCATCTGAGGGGGAGAGGCAGACAGAGATGAGGGGTGAAAGGATGAGCTACTCTGGACAGTGCCCAATTGGTTAGACCCCATGATGGAGTGGGCGATGGTTGAGATGTTAGTGGTGCCCGTCTCGTGGGTCTCTGACGGAGGGCTTGTACACACCCTCATTGCCCCGCCCATGTCGGTGGAGGCGGTCGTTGCGGTGTTGGTGGTTCCAGTCTCGTGGGTCTCGCAGGGAGGGTTGGAGCAGACCCTCTGCACCCCACCTATAGCGGAGGAGGCTGTGGTTGCAGTATTGGTGGTTCCTGTTTCGTGGGTCTCACAAGGGGGGTTAGAGCAGACCATGGTGACAGTACCAGGGGCATCCCCGACCTCAGTGGAGGAGGGCTGCTCAGAGGTGGGTGAGGCCAGGAAAGACACAGGCAGGTCCTGCACTGGCTGGGCCTCAACCCCGCTGGGGGTGGTGATGAGAGTCACCTGGGTTGGCTGGTTTGCCGACTGAAATGAGAGCACATCAGGTATTGATTATGACTGAGAAAACCCAATCAAAAAGTTAACCACATTGTGCAGCATGACATTTCATGTTCCAATTCTCAAGAACATAATTGAAGCTACATCTACATTTTTGTATAAAGAATAGCACAGAGCTGTCTTACCATGGAGGTGGAAAGGGTAGTGGCTGTGGTCAGACTGGTCTGGGCTGCTGACACAGTGATGGCAGTGGGGTTGATAACTTGGCTGGACAGGGTGGCGATGGTGCCCAAGGTGGTGATGGGAGTTACCAGAGAGGCGTTAGCACTGGCTACAATGCCCCCTGCCAAGCTGGAGGAGACCGTCCCTGTGACTGTTCCCACAGTGGTGACACCTAGTGGAAACCAAGCACTAATCAACAAGGGGCAGACAGCTGGAACTTCGGTTGATAAAATGTAACTGCTTACTTATGAATTGAACAGACAGCACTTGTTTGCCATTTTTAATCAAGGTGTAATTATGAAACGTTATCCACACCAGTTGTTCCCTTGACGACCAGTGTAGTTATATTGGGCTTGACAGAAGACATCGTAACAGGGGTGACGAGTCGGACTCCACCCATGGGTACAGTGCGCAAAATGGTTCCAGGTTGGCCCGGAGCTCCCTTCAAAACCACCTAAAAAACCAAGGTGTAGGTATAATAATATAATTGAGACACTAGGGGGCACTATTACACTCATCCACTGGGGCAAGACATTTGATACAGCCAAATGTACAGTATTAGTAGCACTAATCAACAGAGCAGATCCAAATATAGTCCCCAGAAGTATGCATGCATTTCAACTGCTCCAAATGCTTTGCTGTACTTAGCCGTATGATATTTATCAAATGTAACTAAATATAAAATTCCAGGTGATATTTAAACGTTTTTTTTTTTTTTTAAGGGAAAGGGCACCAATGTCAAAACTGAAACATCTACAATTGTTTCACATAGCCTATAAATATTATGCATAAACATATCAATAATGCATATTCTACAAGAGTTTGGAAGGGTCATTTCTGTGAGGTACCTGTGTCAGCCCCTGCTGGCCAGTTGCAGTGCCAAGCTTGGGCATTGTAGTGATGATTTTGCCTGGCGTGCCAGTGGTCATCATCTTGGTGGTGAGGATGGTGTAGGGCGTCTTCCCTGTGCTGCTGGTCACTGTTAGCGACAAAAACAACTGTCAGCATATGGTCCTATTGTATTGTGCTGTATTGTCCCTGAAACATTAAGTCAGTTGGTTCTGACCTGTGGCTCCAGGCTGGGTCATAATAGCAGACATAGGGATGGTCTTGATGATGGTGGTGCCCTGTTTGGTTGTGGTGGGCGACATGCCGCTGATGTTCAGGATGGTGGGTTTGCTCCCTGTGCCTCCTGCCTGGGACGTGGTGATGATGGTGGTGGGCTTGCCGTCCGCTGAGGTCACCAGCTTCAGTATGGTGCCGGCAGGGAGAGTACCCTTAGTCTACGGGAGACAAAGTGGATTATGAGCATGATCAACTGAAAGCCGGCTGAGCCTGTCCATGGAGTTTTAGCTACCTCCTTTTCCTGCACTCATGCAGATAGCTGACCTGTATGAGCTGTGTGAGAGGGTTAGTGGAAGCCTGGCCTGTAACAGCCGATGTCTGCACTGGCTTGGTTTGTACCACAGACATCATCTTGCCAAGGTTGGAGATCTGCTGACATAGGAGAGAGACTCAAGTTTATGAGTCACCAGAAAACATCACAGTATTTGGCATCAGGAGATCAGTGTCATGTGGACAACTGAACTGTGAGTACGGCTATCCTGTGAGTGTGGCCAATCTAACTGACCCTGACAGTCGTGCAGATCTATGAACTCAAGCTGTTCCTTTTCTTGGCGTTTTCCACAGCCACATCTTCAATCACAGGTTCATGCCTAGGCCATATAAGATTTCTAAAGTGTGAAAAACAATTTCTAAGTTCACGGCATGCATATAAAATTCTTAAGTTGGATCTTGTATAAGGAGAGACATTTCTCACAGCCTTCTCCCTGTACTCCCTCCCCTCCGTGTTCTGTAAGACTGTCTAGTTCTCTCACCAGAGTGCCGCTGCCTCCCATTGTGAGGGGGCTCTTGACCAGGGTGATGGTCTTGGTGACTCCTCCCACCATGGTGGTAACCACCTGGTGTTGCTGGGCTACAGTAACCGTGCCTGACTTGTGGACAGTGATGATGGGTCTGTTGGGAGAGTTAGGTGACGATACGGTTGCTGTGCCCACCTGAGCTGCAGCTGTCTTCAGCATGCGAGTGGCTGGGTTACTAACCTGGATGCAGAAAAAACAAAATGTGTTTAGGGTGTAAATTCAAAACTGGGCCATGACAGAGACTGCCGGACAAACGGACACATTCTGCCATTGAGTTTCATTTTTTTTACAGACCGATATTTGATAGGTTTTACCATGAGAGGAGATGCCATTTTGACTGTAGTGGAGCCAGGGGAGACAGCCATGGTTTTGACAAGGGTGGCACCTGCTGGAATGTTGAGTACAGTGCTTGAAGAGGGTGGGATCTTCTGTGTGGCTGCTGCAGCTGCAGCCAAAGCTGCCATGCCACTCATCTGAGGGCTGCTGCCAACTGGCTAAAAGGAAAACAAACAGTCCTGAGTGAGACAATACTCTTTACATTACTCTTTAACCTTGAATAACAAAACCATTTCACAATTGTCCATACTGTTCCTTGGGCGTTCTGGGCAGGAACAACCATGCGAACTCCTGGAAGAAGTGATGTCACAGTGACAGGGGATTTCCCAGCCTGGTTGGGTCGCACAGTGACAAGGGAGGTACCCGTGCCAGACAGCGGCGCTGCAACCTTCAAGATAGCTGTCAAAACAACAGAAAACCGGCTCAGTCTGGAGCCTTCGAGGTCTGCTTTTTACATATCATTTTGGTATACGGTTATCGAAATACAATGGGCTGTAAAAGTGAACAATGAAAACGATCTGTGACAATAGTCCATAAAATGGTACAAACAACCTCCACAGAACAAGGACATCCATGGTTTTACCTGGCCCATGAGCTGTGGAGGCAGCCAGCGGGATTCTGGGCATGTTGGGAAGGATAGTAGGGGAGGAAGCCTGGGGCACAATAGTGATACCTGTGTGTGGTAGGTTCTGAGCAGAGGGAGCAGCTGTGGCTGGGCTCTTAGGCGAGTTCCCTGGCAGAGAGGAGGTGGCATTGAGGGCCGGCGAGGTGACAGCAGTGGCAGCTGGGATGTCGTACTTCTGCAGCTGCAGCAGGTATGTGTCTGCGGTGGACACAGTACCCCAGCTTACCTCCAGGGAGTTGGTGTTGGCACGGACTAGCTGCACTCTCGAGGGAGCATGTGGCCTCTCTGTAACCAAAACACAAAATGGTCACATTTCTTATAAGCAATCAACAGAAGCAGAGTAAGCCTTGCCAAGAGCACAGTTGAGCAAATACTGTCGGCTTGTTTTACCAGTGTAAATGAGCAACATAGAGGTGACTCACCTGTCTCAAGGTACCAGAGGTCTTTACAGCAGACTTGGTTGTTCCATGCTTTACGGTAACCGTCACGGCCGCTCCAGACATACAACCTGGAGTTGATGGCCACAGAGCAATGTCCTGCCCGGGCCCTTGGGATATTGTCCTCCAGAGTATCCATCACCACTGATTCCCAGGCCATGGAGTCTGGGGTAAAAAGAAACATGAGGGTTACATTTTATTTTTTGACAGCAATATAATTTGACCACCAGGTGACACTGTGCCATTTACCAATGGAAGTGTCACAGTGAATGTTTTCACTTAGACAGAGTTTGTTGAAGTAGATCAATTCATAACACAGAAATAAAATCTAGATAAACTTTATTCAGTGTGTAAGGTTTAATGCAAGTAGTAGCACCAATAACTGAAAATGGGGAGACGAACCGAGATTTAGGCAGGCCAGTGTGTTTGTGCACTTCCATTCCTTCTCATGTGTGGCCACCTTCACATCATCCATAACCAGGGGAACCCATCCCCCAAACACAAACATCCTACAATGATAAGTAGACAAAGAAATGAGAATCAAGCAGTCATCATAAATAGGCTACCGCTGAGAGATTTAACCAATTGTTATTCCAGAGATCTAAATGATCATAATATAATTCCAACAGGTATTCGGGGAGATCTCACTTGTTTGTGATGGTGGTGGCAGAGTGGAGACTCCTGGGCAGAGGTGCTGTGCCATTCACTGATGGCTTAGTCCAGTTCAGGGTGTCTGCAGACAGAGCAAGATCATTTAGATAATACATTGACAAGACTGATTAATGCGAGTAAGAGACAAAGAGTGATTATATACAATAATATGGCAATACTGTTAACTAAGGAGCCTACCGATGTCAAGGGTCCATAGATCTCCCAGACGACAGCCACTCATCCCTCCATAGATGATCAGGCGAGATTTTTTGCTGTCCTTTTCTGTGTACACTACTGCAGTGTGGCTCTCGCGAGGAGGCGGCAAAACGCCATAAGTAATTGGTATATCCCAGCCCACAACACTGGAGCCAGCACGAAGCTCCAGGGTGTACAGATCATTCAGGTATCTAGTGACAAAAGAGAGATTTCAGTCAGAATGTCTTTCTAATTGCTTAATACAAACTATCCGTTTGCTTCCATTCCACAGCATCAGTTTATCCTGTTACCCCACGTTTCCTTCTTAAGGAAACGGTACCTGGGGATGTTGTTTTTGGGGTCCTCGCTGTCATTAGCCAGTCCTCCAAACAGGTAGCACTTGTTGCCCACCAGCGAGAAACTGTGGCCAAGTCGAGGACAGGGAGGTGGGCCATTTTTTGGGGTCTTAGCTTTCAACTTTTTCCATTCCCATCTGCTGGCCTGAACAAGAAAAAGCATAGACAGGCATATGCAAAAGATGATAGCATGCTGTAATCATTATCTATTTATAAATACTTAAAGACAGCCATTTTATCCCTGGCTTTATATCTACCAATCTTTAGAGCAAGAGTGTGCTGTAAGCATTCAATTACCTGTAGCTCATAGAGATCATTGCTGTATTTTCCATATTCCACCATTCCACCAAACACCAGAAGCCGGGTGCCATCACAAACAAAACCGTATGCAGCACATCCAGGGGGAATATCACCACGAACCGCAGGGATAAACCATTGGTTTGTTGCTAGATTAAATAAATAGAGATTAGTCTGTGTGTACAGGTAGACATTGTTGGGTGGTCAAGTGCTAGGTAGGCCTATGATGTGAGATGTGAAGCAAATGCTATTTTGAGTAAATATTTACTCGAGCATGATCCAAGCATCTCTGACAAATGCAACCTGCATCTTCTTCGGGCCAGGTCTGTTTGAAAGTGTCACATGAGAAGTGCATGACGTATGTCCTATGCATTGTACGTATATCTGCATAACCCAAAGTTTAAAAACATCAACTGAAATTTCAACTGTAACAATCATTGCTCTCTCATAAAAACGTAACAGAAAATTATAATTTAACACTTTTATAACTGTGCATGTTGACTGCATAAGTCATAATATAATAAGGTAGGGAATTGCTGCACTCTGTCTTTCTTGGGAACAAAATGTTGAAATAACTAATTTTGCTACTCGGGACAATATCAGTACAGTGAACAGAAATTGCGTGCATCCAATAATCCAATGTTCAAAACAGTGCTCCTGTCGTCCATTTTATTTTAGCGCGCCATTTTCATTTGTGCGCTTTCAGTTCTGTGCCACCAGACGGCGACAGTTTGTCGGGGAATATGTCAGGCTACATTTCCCCCTAAATCTGATCAGACTCCAGCACACCACACAAAACAGACTACTATTCGTGACAACAGCGGGCGAATGGACCATATAGAGGGGCCCATCGGATTAGAAGCCAGAAAGTATCTGTCAATGAAAGACGTACCTGCTACAGTAATTGATTACATAAACTAAATTAGTGTATGGAGAGTTGGTGGCAATATGCAGATTCGGCTGCATGGCTAACATTTTAAACTAAGTTATCTTACCTGTGTTGTAGACATGCAATTCATCCACAATTCCTTCATTTCCTCCTCCAAAAACAACCATCAATTCCTTTATAGCAACGGCTCTGTGACCATGTCTGGGCCGAGGGACAGGTCCAGACCATCCTAGTACCCGCTTCCATCGTGGCTGCAGAGTTGAACCAGTGGTCCCAGACACCATGGAACCAGTCATGTCCTCTTCAGTATAAATAAATAAAAAAGGTTTGTTTAAACAAGAAAATGAGAACTCCAAAGCAAGATTGATGACCAGGTCTATTGATACTTGCGAATTTAGGCTAAAACTAAGACAAATTGTGCAAAGTGAAGACTGCACGTGCAATCGATTGATGGGCCCAAACGCGATGCATTGAGAGCGTAGATGTGAAAAAATTATATTGTAATTGTAAACTCCAGGGAAGCCGCCATTTTACCGACGCTTCGCAAAAAGGGAAAAAGCCGGCTATTATTATAATGAATCATGATACACCTAATAGCTACTCACTCTAAAGAGAATACAAATGTATTCGACATAACAAAGTTATATTGCGCGTCCTTGGAAATGTCATTTTTTGCCGTTGCATCTTGCAGTTAAAGTTTTGAAGCAACCCTAGAGTGCCTCTCTATGGGAGCAGCCATCTTGTATTACAACCAAACAAACCTCCGCCAGTCTGAAAAATGGCGGAAGAGAATACAAATTAAAAAGACAAATACTTGTGTTAGCTAAATTAAGCTTTAACCTACTGCTTCAACAATAAGGTGCACTAGCCATATGCCACTACAGTCCTATTACTAAATATGTGGATGAAGTGTACCACAAATAGACGCAAAGCATTTGTAATTAGACCCGTTTACTGTGGATTGCTATTTTCATGCTTCTCTGTGAGTCGCCATATTTGTCACATTCATTCAATCTATCGCCACTTATGCGTTTCATTAAACGTTTATACATCTTTAAAGTGTAATCGAATGTAATTTCTGTCAGATGTACAATATCACGTGAAATGTCAAACTTTTACAACACATCAATTAGAAAACCGCGCGTGCACTACATAGTTATGGCTAATAGACTAACGTAGCCAGCTGGCTCACAATGTTAGCATGGGAGGCTTACTAGCACAGCGTCATGTACCGATTACATACAATACAGTTACATAAATATACATGTATTATATAGCCAGTGTAATGCAATTCAATATGTTACATTTCAAATAAAGTGTTGTTATTTATCATGCCGTCTCTGGAATCAGCCATCTTTTCGAAAATCGGCCTACTTTTAAGCTCCCTCAAGAAAAATGGCCGTACAGTCCGCCACAACAAAACACCTATATTCACAAAATCTGACGTCCGTAAGACATATTACTTACTTCTTTCGATGCACTATTTCCAATAAGACGATTTGGGGGTCTACTCTTGAATCACTAGCCCAAGTTCATTCGATTTGTGAAGAAGTATTCCCTCTCATGCCTGCCTGGAAGCTGCCATCTTCTTGACAACCAAAAGGGGAGGAAAATACAGCGATTTGGCGTCACCCAAAACAAACATGGCGACTAGTATAGAACCGCTATCAATTAATGCATATTGGAGTAAACTAAACGTGCGTTTTGACTTCAAAACAACCTACGTAATTTAGTTTTATATATTTGAAATGGGCATTTACATTTGGACATCTGAAACATTTCCTTTATTTCGTTGGAAGGTATCATACTTGCACGGGCTACATTGTCCCTTACTAAAGATGGCGATTAACACATATTTATATCAGTTTAGTACACGATTAAGCAAATATAAGAGATGTGCTATTTATGTTCTCTAAATTACTTATAACAAAACACACAATCAACGGTGGAATTATGAACATTTTGTTTTGGGGGACTTTACAGTCCCATTCAACAACCCACTGGATGCTAATTGCCACGCCCCCACTTTCAGTAAAGCGATAGTGTGGTACCAAACCTACACACAAGTGTTTTGGTGTATCTCAATGTTGCATGAATGTATGCATGAAGGCATCAAAAAGGCTAATAACCTACCGGTACACAGTAAGCCATATAAAGACAGTCACTTTAATATTGCAAAAATGCAATTCACCCTTCTTGTTCTTGTCTGTATGCAAAGTAACACATGAGGGGAAAAACAGAGATAGTATATGCATGCACATGCTGCATGGGAAAATGCTAGACCCAAAGCACAAGACTGACCAATGGACATGACTCTGTAGCTTCAAAGGGCTTAAAGGTACTGAACAGTCATTCTGAAAAGCACGTTTTCTCTCATGGCTAACTACCTGGACGTTTGAAAACACATGCTGAATGGGCTTATATTCATGAGCTCGCCTTGACTGACAGCACTTTGAAACAACTTGGATGCAGTGAGCAGTGTCACAGTAAAATCATCTCAAGCTAATTTGGTGATATACAAAGCAACTCAAACAACATTGAAATTGTGTCAATGATATCAATTTAGTATTATACAGTGCATTCGGAAAGTATTCAAACCCCTTGACTTTTTCCACATTTTGTTACGTTAAAGCCTTATTCTAAAATGGATTAAATAAATAAAAATTCTAATTAATCTACACACAATATCCCATAATGACAAAGAGAAAACTGTTTTTTAGAAATTTTAGCAAATGTGTTAAAAATAAAAAACAGAAATAACTTATTTACATAACTATTCAGACCCTTTGCTATGAGACTCGAAATTGAGCTCAGGTGCATCCTGTTTCCATTGATCATCCTTGAGATGTTTCTGCAACTTGATTGGATTCCACCTGTGGTAAATTCAATTGACTGGACATGATTTGGAAAGGCACATACCTGTCTATATAAGGTCCCACAGTTGACAGTGCATGTCAGAGCAAAAACCAAGCCATGAGGTTGAAGGAATTGTCAGTAGAGCGCCGAGACGGGATTGTGTCGAGGTACAGATCTGGGGAAGGGTACCAAAACATTTCTGCAGCATTGAAGGTCCCCAAGAACACAGTGGCCTCCATCATTCCTAAATGGAAGACGTTTGTAACCACCAAGACTCTTCCTAGAGCTGGCCACCCGGCCAAACTGAGCAATCGGGGGAGAAGGGCCTTGGTCAGGGAGGTGACCAAGAACCCGATGGTCACTCTGACAGAGCTCCAGAGTTCCTCTGTGGAGATGGGAGAACCTTCAATAAGGACAACCATCTCTGCAGCACTCCACCAATCAGGTCTTTATGATAGAGTGGCCAGACGGAAGCCACTCCTCAGTAAAAGGCACATGACAGCCCGCTTGGAGTTTGCCAAAAGGCACCTAAAGGACTCCCAGACCATGAGAAACAAGGTTCTCTGGTCTGATGAAACCAAGATTGAACTCTTTGGCCTGAAAGCCAAGCATTACATCTGAAGGAAACCTGGCACCATCCCTACGGTGAAGCATTGTGGTGGCAGCATCATGCTGTGGGGATGTTTTTCAGCAGCAGGGACTGGGAGACTAGTCAGGATTGAGGGAAAGATGAACAGAGATCCTTGATGATAACCTGCTCCAGAGCGCTCAGGTCCTCAGACTGGGGTGAAGGTTCACCTTCCTTAAGGGTTCCGATCCTAAGCACACAGCCAAGACAACGCAGGAGTGGCTTCGGGACAAGTCTCTGAATGTCCTTGAGTGGCCCAGCCAGAGCCCAGTTTTTAACCCGATCGAACATCTCTGGAGAGACCTGAAGATAGCTGTGCTGTGACGCTCCCCATCCAACCTGACAGAGCTTGAGAAGATCTGCAGAAAATAATGGGAGAAACTCCCCAAATACAGGTGTGCCAAGCTTGTAGCGTCATACCCAAGAAGACTCAAGGCTGTAATCACTGTCAAAGGTGCTTCAACAAAGTATATTTACATTTACATCATTTAGCAGACGCTCTTATCCAGAGCGACTTACAAATTGGTGCATTCAACTTATGATAGCCAGTGGGACAACCTCCTTTTTTTAAATGGGGGGTGGGGGAAGAAGGATTACTTTATTTTATTCCAGGTATTCCTTAAAGAGGTAGGGTTTCAAGTGTCTCCGGAAGGTGGTCAGTGGAAAGTGTCT